TAAAGAGCCAATTCAAGATATTGATGATCTACAAGATAGAGTGATGGACACATCAGCACATCAACAGAGTTCATCTGAGAAAAGCAGCGAATCATGCTCGCTCGCGAATATTAAAATGTATCGAGAGCAATGGGGGCCATTTCGAGCAGTTCAATTGATTTTTTTCAGTATTTGTATTATCCACCTGTTAAGTTATGCAAGAACATAGGACACAGAATCCATAATCTAAAGTTACAGTCATGGTGGAGTGAAGTAGTTACTAATAACACAACATAATGAATTGTCGAGGAGATAACTTCCGAGTATTAATTATTAGTTACAGAACTCCTAGCCTACTAGACATAAAAACAAAAATTGGAAATCAGAACCCCAAATAGAATAAAACTGTGATTGTGATACATCACTGGAAATTTTATGCTGATTTCAAATCTGTTAAAATCCAGTATGGTGTCCATAAGGAAAATTGAAGTTGTAGGTGATCTCACAAATTTGACATTTTGATGAAAAACCGACAAAACCATTGAAAAGGACACCAAAGAGTGCTATGAGAATGTTGAAATCATTTTTTCATAAAATCAATAGTTTCTGAGATATTCGAACAAAACAAAAATACAAGATTTCAGTTTTTCTCAAATATCTCGAGAATGACTAAAGCTAGCCCGGATTTCTGATTCAACATTGAATTTGCTACAACTTTGCCAATTTAACCGTTTCTTTATCTCTCATAGTTACCTAGATCCCAATGGTGAGGATCGAATTTGGGACACACTGTATATCTCTTCCCCTCGTATAATTTCATCATCATAGTTGTCATTAGTCATAGATGAATCATTTGTTGAGAAATTAATCGGTTAGCAGCATGATTCAACCTATTAGTCATTCGTTCGAGACCAGGTGGTGAATCAAGACAGTCTTATATTGGATGTCATCACGTACGGTCGAATTTTTCACAATTGAAAAATACGCGAATGGAATTGTCGAGGGAATTATTTATCGTTTTAAACGGAGTGTTCATTTAAAAATAAGTGCAAGTATTGTGTTTTTGTGTTCCTTATTCAATTTGGTGATTACATTATCGCGATCGTGTGCTGTTCTAGTGTTTCGTGTTATTCGATCAGAGCTTCGCATTTTTCACGCTGGTGGGTAAAGAGAAATTCTCTCAATTTTTCCTCATATTTCCATCTTTACTTTCAACTTCATTACCTTATATGTTTTCACAATCACAAAGGTACCGTTTGTTGAATATTTTGCGATGAAGATATACTTCCTTCTGATTTCCGTACTTTCCGTTCAGAACGGTATTTTTTCAGAGGAAAATAATACGAAACGAGCAAATCAGAAGAAAATAAGATAATTCGAGATTATTTCATGAAAACATATTTTTTGCTATGCAGGGTGTTTCAGATTCAAATGTACAAACATCGATGTGTCTACCATCTTTTATAACTGTGATATACAGAACGTAATCTTGATCTTCGCAATATCTTTATCTGGTCAGCTCATAACTTTTGAACCATGGTGTATAATCGATTCATACTCGATAGGTATATTCAACTCATATTACTCATCAAAACTAAATAGGAATCGAATTTGGAATCTAGATCCGTTATCAGGGAAATCAGAAAACTTCTTCTTTTTCAAAAACAACACTCTGTATATCAGAATTTTGTAGATATGTTCCAATATCTGCAAAGAGCAGGAAAACTTAATGAATTGGCCTACTTTTCAATAGGGTGCATCCAATTTGACTTTTTTTCATCATTATTTTTTGAAATTGAATTTTTGTAGAACTGGTAATCCTAAATCCAATTTTATCACAAAAAAATAATCAGTCCTCAAAGTTCAACTTCATTAGAGTCAAATTAGGTAAACTCCCGATAGTTAGTTTTCAGTCTATAGAATAATTATTGTTACTTAGATATCTTGGAGTGCTCGTTACATTTTCACTATTAAAAAATAATGATAACACAAATTTGATTAGGTAGCTATGCCTCGAGCGAGGCCTCGAGTTATGCACAAAGGTTAAAAAATGAATACCATATAAAGATTTTGTCAAAATTATATTTTTAGCCTGTTTAATTTTTTAAAATCGTTAGACTTTCGAAAATAATGGTGCCAGTATATCGGTGTTCAATAATTCTTCATCTCATATTTTGTATACTATATATCTTTTCCCCCCGTATAATTTCATTATCGTCATCAGTCATAGATACATCATTTGTTGGAAAATTAATCAGCAGCATGATTCAACCTAATAGTCATTCATTCGAGACCAGGTGGTGAATCAAGACAGTCTTATATTAGATGTCATCACGTACGGTCGAATTTTGTGATCGCAATTGAAAAATTAGCGAAAGGAATTATTTATCGTTCCAAACGAAGTGTTCACTTGAAAATGAGTGCAAGTGTAGTGTTTTTGTATCCCTCATTCAATTCAGTGATTACATTATCGCGATCGTGTGCTGTTCTGGTGTTTCGTGTTGTTTCATCAAAGCTTCGCATTTTTCACGCTGGTGAGTCAAGACAAATTCTCTCAAGTTTTCCCCATATTTTCCTCTACTTTTAAATTCATTACCTTATATGTTTCCGAAATCACAAAGGTACCTACTTTTTGTTGAATATTTTCCGATGAAGATATATTTTCTTTTGATTTTCGTACTTTCCGTTCAGAACGGTATATTTTCAAGAGAAAATAATACGAAAAGAGCAAGCCAGAAGATAATAAGACGATTCGAGATTATTTCATGAAAACATATTTTTTGGCTATACAGGGTTTTTCAGATTTAAATGTACAAACATCGATACCATATTTTATAACTGTGATATAGAACGTAATCTTGATTTCGGCAAAATCTTTCTCTGGTCAGCTCATAGCTTTTGAACCATGTTGTAAAATCGATTCATACTCGATAGGTATATTTAACTTATATTACTCATCAAAATTGAATTGGAATCGAATTTAGAATCTAGACCCGTCTTCAGGGAAAACAAAAAAAACTTCTTCTTTTTCAAAAGCAACACTCTGTATATCAAAATTTTGTAGATGTTTTAATATCTGCAAAGGGTAGGAAAACTGAATGAATTGGCGTACTTTCCAACACTGTGCATCCAATTTCACTTTTTTTCATCATCATTTTTCGAAATAGAATTTTTATTGATCTCGTTATTCAAAATTCAATTTCATTGCAAGAAAAATATCAACTCTCAAATTTCAACTTCATTAGCGTCAAATTAAGTAAACTATCGATAGAATTCATTGCATAGAATAATTTGTCAAATAGTTTAGATAGTTTCGAGTGCCCGTTACATTTTCACTACTTCAAGAAATAATGATAACAAAAATTTGATTATGCAGTTATGCCTCGAGTTATGCACAGTGGATGAAAAAATAAGACCATATGATAAAGATTTTGTCAAAATTATATGTTCAGTCTGTTTAATTTTTTGAAATCGTTAGACTTTCGAGAATAATAGTGCCAGTATATTCGGGTTCAATTCTTCATCATATATTTTGTATACCATATATCTCTCCTCTCCGTATAATTTCATCATCATCATAGTTGTCATTAGTCATAGATGAATCATTTGTTAGGAAATTAATCGGTTAGCAGCATGATTCAGCCTATTAATCATTCATTCGAGACCAGGTGGTGAATCAAGACAGTCTTATATTAGATTTCATCACGAACGGTCGAATTTTGTGATCGCAATTGAAAAATACTCGAAAGGAATTATTTATCGTTCCAAGCGGAGTGTTCACTTGAACATGAGTGCAGGTATTGTGTTTTTGTGTTCCTCATTTGATTCTGTGATTACATTATCGCCATCGTGTGCTGTTCTGGTGTTTCGTGTTGTTTCATCAAATCCTCACATTATTTACGCTGGTGAGTGGAGAGAGATTCTCTCAAATTTTCCTCATATTTCCCTGTTTATATTTACCTTATATGTTTATGTTATGTTTATGCTTTCAAAATCACAAAGGTACCGTTTGTTGAATATTTTCCGATGAAGTAATACTTTCTTCTGAAATTCATACTTTCCGTTCCCAACGGTATTTTTTCAGAAGAAAATAATGCGAAAAGAGAAAACCAGAAGAAAATAAGACGATTCGAGATTAATGAACAAATTTTTGTCCTATACAGATTTAAATATAGATACATCGATGTGTCTAGTATCTTTTATAACTGTGATACAGATAACTTCTGAACCATGGTGGATAATCGAGCCATACTCGATAGGTATATTCAACGACTTTTCAACAGGGTGCATCCAATTTGACTTGTTTTTTCATCATCATTTTTCGGAATAGAATTTTTGTTGAACTCCTAATTCAAATACCAATTTTATCACAAAAAAATAATCAGTCCTCAAAGTTCATCTTCATTAGGGCCAAATTAGGTGAACTATCGATAGTTTTCATTTCATAGAATAATTGTTAATTAGATATTTTCAAGTGCTTTTTACATTTTCAGTATTTCAAAGAATGCTGATAGTTTGAGAAAGTTATATATACATGAAATTCTTTTTTTTAATCTTACTTTCTAGGTCAATATCTCCGAAACGAAGCGCGATATACTTTTTTTAATATGAAGTACCAACATTATTTTGGCTCACACTACCAATCCTATCATTACATTTCCGGACATCCTGTATAGTTTGAAAATTTTTCTCAAACCATTTTTCACTCATTTGGGATTGAATCAAAGTTGCCGATAACATTTAGATAGCTGTGGACACAACAGGAATGCCATGGAAACAAAACAGGCATTTTTTGACATCTCTGTCGGTCTTTCAATTAAAATGGGTTATTCAGCAGTGGAAAAATACGGAATTGTATAATTGGTATGAAAATATTGCGGAAACTTCGGTAAGGCAGCAAGAATTTAGTCTAAATACGGATTTCCTCTCCAGATTAACAAGCAAACAGACAGAAAGCACAGTGTTTGATGACTTGCCACTAAGTCGGAAAAAACCATCCAGTCAAGACGGACCGAACAGAAAATTCGCAAAGAGAACTGACCAGAGTATACTTTTCAGTATTCTGATCCTTATATTCGTACGAAAGGCGATATATTGAATTCCTTGCCAGATTCTCAAGCAAACAGATAGACAGATTTTCACCTTTATGTCTCTATGGAAACACGACAGGTACCCTTACGAGGGGAGAGTATCAACTCGGCGTTTATAAACCCTCTCCGCAAAGGAGGTCGGCGCATGGTGGGTTAGGTATATACAGTGTTTTTCATTGCAGAGAAAATCGTTGTTTATCTGCCTACCTCGTCAGCATTGAGAGAGTTGATGAATATCCGTAAAAATATATCGCATTTCAGTTACGAATGTTGAAAACAATATTCAGACTTTATAGATTTATATTTTATGTACGTCTCACGATTCAAATTTCAAATTGATGCTTAGTTTTAGATCCGATAGCAGCACACTGTTTGGCATTCATGGTCCTCATTATAACCCACGAAATTCAAAATGTAGCAGATGTCTACTGGAAAGACCACTATTCGGAAGGAGAGTAAATATGGAGCAATTCAGTTACGAATGTTGGAAATATTATTCTGGTTTGTTTCAGATTCAACATCAGTTTTTATTCTCATGGACTTTCTGATATGTAATATTTAGTTGCAGATCCGAAAAGCAAAGTATTTGATACTAACTTGTCAATAAATTGGAGAAAACAGTCCAGTCAAGACGGGGCCGAACAGAAAATCCGCAAAGAGAACTGACCAGTGTGGCAGTCCAAATTGATTTTATACCTCGATTAGGATATGGTGAGTTATCATCAATATTCTAGTGGAAAAATCAAGTTGGCACATGGACTATCAACAGATATTACGAAAACTCTGTCAAAATTGATAGATTATATTTTTTTCATTCTCCTGCGGCAGTCCAAATTGATTTCGACCTCGATTAGGTTATAGTAAGCTATCATCAATATACTAGTGGAAAAATTGAATTTGCACATGGACTATTAACAGAGATATTTCGAAAATTCTGTCAAAATTGACAGATTACATTTTTTTTTACCATTCTCCTACGGCAGTCAAAATTGATTTCGACCTTGATGAGGATATAGTAAGTTATCATCAATATTCTAGTGGAAAAATCAAGTTTATCAAATTAATTTCAAAAACTATTAACCATTTGTACTTGCATTTGTATCCAAAAATAACAAATGTACAGTCATATTCAATAAAAAAGCGTACAAGTATTGAAAAGAGAGGATTTCGGGATCCTAGTTCTAGTTGTGTTAAACTGGCCCAGCCAATGCTTTGTGTTTTCGAGAACCTATGACAACTTTACTGTCAAAATTTGGTGAACAATCATTCCCGATAGCTCGTTTTATGCAGAATAGGATGATGTTAATTTCTCTCTATAATATACTTGTACGTTTTTTTTTTAATGCAACTGTATTTCATAACACAATATATGAATTTCAAATCTGAAAAAGCACAGGCCAATGTCGGCAATAGTCAGTTCATAGAAGATTTATATTCAATATACAGGGTGTTATTTAAGTACGTGGCCAAACTTGAAGGGGTGATTCTTTGAGTGATTCTAAGACGAAAAGTTCATATAAACATAGGTCCGGTAATGTTTCGTTTTCAAGATACAGGGTGTCAAAATTTTTAAAAGAAATCGTTTTTTTCGTAAATATCTTAATAACCCTTCAACCGATTTTATTGAAATTTGGCAGTGTTATTCAAGGTCGTAAAGGGCTGATTTAACCCTAACTATATCGAAATTATCATGTCCAGTGGCGTCCCGGAAGGCACTGTAACCAATATTTTTGACAGAAAAAATGTGCGCCCCTGATTTTTCTGCAATTTTTGTATTTGTTTCACATTGAGCAACTAAAATTACAACTTTTTTATATCTAGAATTTTTTTCGTATCTTGCTTTGTTTTTGAGAAAAAACATAAAAATCACTTCATGGCACATCCCTGTGACAACACAATAAAACATTTCAACTACTAAACCATCAAAAACTGGGGTCTTTCTAATATTTTTTCATATTAATACTCTATTCTAGTTGCTCAATGTGAAACAAATACAAAAATTACAAAAAAATCAGTGGCGTACATTTTTTCTGTCATAAATATTGGTTACAGTGGCTTCCGGGACGCCACTGGACATGATAATTTCGATATAGTTAGGGTTAAATCAGCCCTTTACGACCTTGAATAACACTGCCAAAGGACCCCGCACTTTTAGTACGTAAAATGGTTCTCGGTGAAATTTTCTGAATTTTCAGTATGTTGTAGAATTCGATGAACTGATTGAACCTGCAGAATCGTAAAGTTCTTTGATGAACAGATTCTGAGATACAGGGTGTTGAAGTTACAAATCGGTATTTTTCATTTAATTATTTTCTCGAAATTCAAAGATGCCAAGTACAATTTTCTTCGCTCATATCATTAACGAACCTCCATATTACTCAACATGATTAAGATGGTTCAGATGATGTAATTGTTTACAGAGTGAAACATATAAACATTTCAGTGATGTCTGAAAATTCGATGTAATAATGAAATATCGAAAAAATAATTTAGGCATGCAATATACTATTCTCATTCCATCACGAATCACAATTCATACATTTCATACAGGGTGATTTGAAAAATTGGTGACACCTAAGATCGATTTATTCATACACATCCTGTATATTCGAGTGAATTGTTATCCTCCCAAGATAGATGAAACCGTATGAACATGATTTCGTTGAGATATATAGGGTGATCATGAAGATTTTCGATGATGAAAATGACAAAAAATCGTGTTTTTTGAAATCACCCTGTTATTCATGATTAACTCGGTGAAATTCCCTAATTATTTTTTAATATATTCATCATTCGCTCCTCAACGCTGTCTTGAAAATTCAGTTTCCTATCATGACGGGTGTCATAGTTATTAATTCAGGAACTTACCATTTGCATGAAGAGTTGAAGAGACTTGTTCACTTACATTCGCATAGTGGCCGATATTTTTCACAAATAGTGAAACGTGAGAATGTGGAGACGAAAATAAGTGGAGGATTCATATACAGGGTGAACATTAGAAATTCAATAACAATAGCAGATATATGGATTTATTAATATTAATATAATGTACAGATAGTTAGGCGAATTTCGTTGGTAATATGAAAATGATGGAAACGCCTGATTCTGAGTGGAAAACAAATGTGAAAAAATCTGTCGATTCCAGGATTCAACTCTCCCTATTAGAAATGGAAGCGTGAAAGACCGAATAATTTTCCCATCTCCTAGGTATTGTTCGTTTTTCATTTTGGCAGAGCTTGTATACCAACGAAATTCGCCTAACTATCTGTACATTATATTAATATTATTAAATTCATATATCTGCTATTGTTATTGAATTTCTAATGTTCACAATGTATATGAATTCTAAACCTAATTTCGTCTCCACATTCTCTCGTTTCACTATTTGTGAAAAATATCGGCCACTATACGAATGTAAGTCTCTCCAACTCTTCATGCAAATGGTAAGTTCCTGAATTGATAACTATGACACCCGTCATGATAGGAAACTGAATTTTCAAGACAGCGTTGAGGAGCGAATGATGAATATATTAAAAAATAATTAGGGAATTTCACCGAGTTAATCATGAATAACAGGGTGATTTCAAAAAACACGATTTTTTGTCATTTTCATCATCGAAAATCTTCATGATCACCCTATATATCTCAACGAAATCATGTTCATACTGATACCGTATCTTGGGAGGTTAACAATTCACTCGAATATACAGGATGTGTATGAATAAATCGGTCTTAGGTGTCACCAATTTTTCAAATCACCCTGTATGAAATGTATGAATTGTGATTCATGATGGAATGAGAATAGTATATTGCATGCCTGAATTATTTTTTCGATATTTCATTATTACATCGAATTTTCAGACATCACTGAAATGTTTATATGTTTCACTCTGTGAACAATTACATCATCTGAACCATCTGAATTATGTTGAGTAATATGGAGGTTCGTTAATGATATGAGCGAAGGAAATTGTACTTGGCATCTTTGAATTTCGAGAAAATAATTAAATGAAAAATAACGATTTGTAACTTTAACGCCCTGTATCTCAGAATCTGTTCATCGAAGAACTTTACGATTCTGCAGGTTCAATCAGTTCATCGAATTCTACAACATACTGAAAATTCAGAAAATTTCACCGAGAACCATTTTACGTACTAAAAGTGCGGGGTCCTTTCAATAAAATCGGTTGAAGGGTTATTAAGATATTTACGAAAAAAACGATTTCTTTTAAAAATTTTGACACCCTGTATCTTGAAAACGAAACATTACCGGACCTATGTTTATATGAACTTTTCGTCTTAGAATCATTCAAAGAATCACCCCTTCAAGTTTGGCCACGTACTTAAATAACACCCTGTATATTTAATTTAATTTAACAGCTCTGTTCCCCATAAGGAATGAACTAAATTAAATATGTTAAATTAGATTCTCTGAACGCATCTTAGTGAAAGGAATGCTTGAACTCTTGAGATAAGTTAAAATTAAATATGATTAACTTACTTGCATAAACAAGCAAATCCATATGCCGCCGCAATAGCAGATCCATAAATCACTGGTTTTGGGAATTTTATTGCAATATTCTTCAAAATCATTGAAATTTTGTGAAAAAACAGAAATTAAATGTAAGTTAGGTTAAATACTCTAAAGTCCAAATTATTAATCATTATCTCATTATCTCTGTAATAATCTATATACCTTGCTTTCGTGACAAATTGCCTCTGAGTTGTGTTGACTGTCGGCAAATGTAGTTGAAGGCCTCAAAGGCAGAGAACTTGGATTCTTAGAACCCTTAGAGTCTGTGGAGAGTTGTGACTTGTGACTGTGACTCTGAGTCTGAGAGACTTTATAATGCGACAAACAGTGACAGACAGGAGACAGGAATAAGACAGAAGATCTTAGACAGAAGACAGGAGCAAATATGACAAGGCTCCATCCACAAAAATAAAAATCTTATACAAAAATAAAAAATAATAATAGAAAAGAAAGTATAATGGCGCCAATGGCGGGAAATTATCTGGGGCGGGAGTTGAAAATCATATTATTTTTATTATTATAGTTGTGGTTTGTTGTGTTATAATAGCTGTGTTGTAGTCGTTTTCTCGTTTATCTTATCTGTATGATATCATAATAGTATGTTAAATGAGTACAATAAATACATCATTTTCGTGATGGTGATGCTGGCGATACTGATGATATGGAGTGAATCGATGAGATAACTCTATTTTAAGGTTATTCGTTCCAGGGTTGTTTTTCTAACTCAAAATTATAAACCTTTCAATACTATCATTATATTGCTACGAAAAACTGATATGCTGAAACTTGAACATCTGCCTGATCCTATATTATAGGATTTCCTGTTTTGAAAGTGATTATCTGATGTTCCCGCCTTCTGGGAACAAAGTGGTGTTCTATTAGAGATCTGCCTTCATTTAGGCAGTTTGTATTGTGTTGATTGTATTCCTGTATTTTTGGCCCACATCTCAACTGGATGCTATAGTAGTAAATTACAATGGTTCTATCAGAGGAAGGTGAAGATCAGCTGAAAAAGAAGCTTATGGATTTGTGTGTGAAGTTGAATCTAGATCCAAAGACATCAGCTGCTGCCTGGGATAACTTCTGTAGTATAAATAAAAACTTTGTTCTAGAGGTTGTGAATTGAAATAAGTTTTCCAAACAAGATTATAACCTAGACTTTCACAGGGAGATGCTATTCACTGGCTTGGTTGTGCAGTATTTGTTGCCACTCAATCTGTGGAAACACCAACATTGCAATCTGATGTGGTCAAAGGCAATTGTTTGAACCTAACATGTCTTCTGAGACATAGCAACCTCAGGTGAGTAGGAACCATATATGTATTAATAAACAATACGGATCATAACGGGTGCCAGGATGAAGCCAAAAATATGAAACAAATGAATATCCATAAGGATTTGGTGGCATGATACGCATAGCGCTATCATAGTAGTCATCAAAGACATGCGTTTCGGTGGACAATGATGTTTACTAGCCTTTCAATCAAAGCAGTATGTGTCTGATTGTTTCAAAACTTTTCCTTTTGTCTTCAAAAATCCACTTCATGTTTCGCTATGGAAACAGATAGAGATTATCCTTTTTGACTATGAATACATATATGGTGGGAACCACAATAGGAACACGAATTGTAAATAATTGCATAAAATAGAGGTACAGATACATAGTAGATTATTGATCCTGAAAACCGCCCTTTCAGGTGAAAAATACATGTAAGCAGAGATATTAAAAGTATATCTACATTTTTACATGTTGAAACATTGAAGGTAGTTTACAAAAAGCTCTCAATTAACTCAATAATGTTTAATCACAAAATTATTACACCATACTTGAAGGCTAATTTGATGCTAATTAAAATCATTAGTTTAGCTAGATTAACCATTAAGCTATTAGATCTAAATCTCAAATAGAAGTAATATAAGGATATTGAGTACATCATAATTTGAGGCTATTTAAAGGTTCTTTGTTGAGCCTATCATCAATTTTTCTGTTTCAAGTTCAATCACAAAACTAATTATACCATCATTTAAGGCTAAATTAAGGCTCCAATCCTAGCCTATTGCTGATTTTTTAGAACATTGTTTTTTTTTAAATCATGGGTTTTGCTAACTTAACCAACAAGCTAGCAGAACCAAATCTTGAATAGAAGGAATATTATCAGAATATTGAGTACACCATGATTTTAGGCCAATTCAAGGCTCTTTATTGAACCTATTATCGATTTTTTTGTTGATCATATATATCACATATTTTCCCAAATCCAACATGAACACTACAAACCAATAGCAAATCGAAAAAGTGCAATCATAAAACAGATTATACAATAATTTAAGGCTAATTTAAGGCCCTAACCCTAGCCCATTTTCACACATTGTTTTTTTTTAATCATGGGTTTTGCTAGCTTAACCATCAAGCTAGCAGAACCAAATCTCAAATAGAAGTGATATAATGATATTGAGTTCATCATAATTTGAGGCAATTTTAAGGCTCTTGTTGAGCTTATCATAAATTTTTGTTTCACATGACAAGGGTTGCCGAATATTTTGCATATAATTTATATAAAGATAGATCTCATCATTTCAATTAAAAAAAAAATATATTAACATGGGTTAAGCTAGCAAAACCCATAAATTAAAAAAAAACAATGTGTGAAAAAATCAGATATAGACAAGGTTAGAGCTTTGAATGAGCCTTAAATTATGGCATAATTAGTTTTGTGATTGAACTTTTTTTGATTTGCTATTGGTTTAACATGTTCATGTTGGATTTGGGAAAATTTTTGCAAAAAATGATAAACAAATAAATGTGCGAAAAACTGGGCAATAGGCTAGAATTAGAGCCTTAGATTAGCCTTGAATTATGGTATAATTAGTTTTATGATTGTACATTTTTTTGATGTGCTATTGGTTTGTCATGTTCATGTTGGTTGCACAAATTGATGTTAAAAAAAACAAGGTTCAATAAAGAGCCTAAAATTGGCACAAATTATGGTGTACTCAATATCCTTATATTCTATTTGATATTTGGTTCTGCTAGTTTAATGGTTGCAAAGCCCAGGATTTTTTTTAAACCATGTGCGAAAAAATCGGCAATAGTCTAGGATTAGAGCCTTAAATTAGCCTTAAATTATTCTATCATTAGTTTTATGATCAAACATTATTTCAATTTGCTATAAGTTTGTCATGGGCATGTTGGATTTGAGAACATTTTTGCACAAATTGATTAACAGAAAAAATTGATAAAAGGTTCAATAAAGAGCCTAACATAGCCTTAAATTATGGTGTACTCCTTCTATTTGAGATTTGGTTCTGCTAGCTTAATGGTTGCAAAACCCATGATTTTTTTTTTAAACAATGTGTGAAAAATTTTGCAATAATCTAGGATCAGAGCATTAAATTAGCCTTAAATTATTGTATAATTAGTTTTATGATTGAACAATATTTTGATTTGCTATTAGTTTGTCATGTTCATGTTGGATTTGGGAAATTTTTTGCAGAAAATGATTAACAAAAAAATCGATGATAGGTTCAACAAAGAGACTCAAATAAACGTGTACTCAACATTCCTATATTCCTTCTATTTGAGATTTGGTTCTGCTAGCTTAATGGTCAAGCTAGCAAAACCCATGATTTAAGAAACAATTTGCGAAAAAATCGGCAATTGGCTAAGATTAGAACCTTAAATTAGCTTTAAATTATGGTATAATTAGTTTTGTGATTGAACTTTTATTTACGTTTTTTTGCATAAATCGAAGAGCAATAAATTCAGCCATAGGGTAATAAATTAGCCTTAAATTGACCTTTAATTAAGTCCAAAGAAGAAATTGAAAAATCGAAAGTTGTTCTGCTAGCTTAATGGGAGTGTTTCTTCATGTTCCAAAGGTGAGAACATTTATATTAGTATTCAACTTCTACATTGAATATCTAGAATCATGCAAGCATCATGATTGCCTGGGAATGACACATCAAAAATAGGGTTTGCAATCGCGGATTAATAATACATTCCCGGGATTCCGGGAACAAATTGATATGAACTCGGGATACTAGAAATTTGGTATCAGGATTAAAATTTGAAAAAAGTATGGGGTATACTGTAGATATGTAATGACTACATTAATACTTCTATATTAACTAGAAATGTAATCTATAGATAAAAAAGTAAAGAGAAAAAAGGCCGAACATTTATTACCCATAGGGTTGACTGAACCAGGAGCGTACAAAAATCCTCTCACAAAAATCCACTCGTAAAGGGTATAATCTGTGAGTCCAGTGCTGATTTTTGTGCGAATAGTCTAGCTGCGGAAAATACTCTTTCATATTCGACACTAGTTGGTGGTATAGTTGTAAGAAGATATGTACCTTTGTTGTTTCAATTTTCGAAAAGTGTAATTTCCTTTGTTAAATTGGATGATATCTTATTTTGTAGAGGTTGAGTCAGTGAAGCTCTCGGTGACGCTTGACTCGCCAAAGAAATTTTATCTTCCTCATCATCTTGTTCATCAATTATTGCCTCTGAAACTACTAAGAAACGTTTTATATAATTCACGAGTATCTCCATATTAACTTTTTTCAAGAAACTTTGAATAATTTGGCAGAGCGTCAATATTTTCGATAATATTTCGCCCCTGTCGAAAGATAATATCTGATGGCCCATCGGATATTATCTTTTGACAGACCCTCGGATTACCTATTGTATGAACTTTTATTGTTTACAATGAAGAAACCAGTACCTACCTTGAATAATATACATTTTCTAAAGCACAATTAGTCTAATATATTAAATTCTCCTAGCCCGGTCGCGATTTTACTAAATATACTGTACGCTAGCACAAACCACGCCCCCCCGTAATATCTCATCTTCGAAGTACTTAGGCAAAACTCAGAGACTATTTATCCTTAACGAACTAACCTATCCCTGATTGCAATTGCATTGATTAATAATATATTTCAGAAGTTGATGAGTTCTTCAACAAAATTGAATAAAATGAGACTGTTTATCCTAAACGCACTAACCTATTTGACTTCAAATATTTTATGAAATAGGAAAACCAGAATGAAGTAAAAAAACATTGGTGAAAAAAAAAGTTGCAAAAAAAAGTTCAAGTTCACAGCGATTCGAACCATGGACCTTCAGACTGAAAGTCGACAGCGCTAACCAGTAGACCATTTGGGTACATGAATTTACTGCGTACAAGAGATTGACAACGAGAGAGCTGACTCCGAGTATATCGGTAATGTTTGGAGATATGACGTATTATGGTGGGCGTGGTTTGTGCTAGCGTGCAGTATATTTAGTAAAATCGCAGCCCGGTCACGGTGTTAGTGGTCGAACTCCTCCGAAACGGCTCGACCGATTCGTATGAAATTTGTTGTGCGTATTCGGTAGGTATGAGAATCGGTCGTAATCTATTTTTCAAATCGAAAATTCAAGGTGGCGGATCCAATATGGCGGACGAGAATTGTTATCCCATTTCATTCAAAATTGGTATTTGGGGGTTTTCGAGGTCGGAGATTATGATTTCTCCATCAAAATTAGGAAATTCAAAATGGCGGATCCAATATGGCGGACGAGTTTTGTAATTATGGTAGGATTTCATTCAAAATTGGTATCTGGGGGTTTTCGAGGTCAGAGATTATGATTTTTTCATCGAAATTGGGAAATTCGAAATGACGGATCCAATATGGCAGACGAGTTTTGTAATTATGATCCAATTATATTCAAAATTGGTATCTGAGAGTTTCCGGGGTCGGAGATTATGGTTCGTTCGTTAAAATTTGGAAATTCAAAATGATGGATCCGATATGGCGGACGGGTTTTGTAATTATGGTTAGATCCTATTCAAAATTGGCATCTGGAGGTTTTAGAGGTCGGAGATATAATTCATATGTCAAAATGGGGAAATTCAAAATGGCGGATCCAATATGGCGGACGAGTTTTTTAATTATGATCAGATTCTATGCAAAATTAGTTTCGGTGGGTTTTCGAAGTCAGTGATAATGATTCTTTCATCAAAATTTGGAAATCCAAGATGGCAGATTTAATATGGCGGATGAGTTTTGTAACTATGATCCGATTTCATTCCAAATTTGTATCTGGGGGATTTTGGGAACGGAGATTATGATTCTTCATCAAAATTAGGAGATTAAAGGTGGAGTATCCAATATGGCAACTGAGTTTTGTAATTATGATCCGATTCTATTCAAAATATGTATCTGGGTGTTTTCGGGGTCGGAGAAGAATGAGAGAACAGAATAATATAAGTGTTGATAAATATTTAACTAAAAACATATTTTCTAGAAATAATTGTATATAGCAAAACAACGTTTGCCGGGTATCAGCTATTGTAATGAATATTAGTTTGAAAAACTAAATGAAACACCTTTTTATAGATAGCCAAACTAAAAAGAAGTGAGTAGAAAATAAAGAGTAGTTTAAAAAAATTAAGAGATATAGAGTAGAGAGTAGAATCCCGCTTTTATTGATTGACAAACTAAAAGAAGTATAAATAAAATAATGAAAGTTTTCTGATGAATATTCATCTAAAATTTTTTTTCTAGAAATAATGTTTATGGCAAAACAACGTTTGCTGGGTCAGCTAGTCATTATATAAATGTTGGTTGCAATGATTCGATCTCGAAAATAACTTCAAGTCCTCAATTGCTGGCGATCCTTGTTTATGTAAATTCTTCACTTGAATTCCGTCTCCTTTATAACAGCCATCAGTGATATTTCTTGATGAATTCAATTATTACATTCCATGTGGTTCCATTCCAATTATAAGGATTTCCTTTCGTGCGCTCCGTCATTCCTTGCTCGCACAAAACTCTCGAAGACTTCTGAGGGTTGCTCGTAAGGGGGCAACCGAATGACGGATAGAACAATTTTAGAAATTTTTTTAGCTTCAGCTGTTACGGAGTGTTGGTGACTCAGAGGTTAATTTGGAGAAATGCAAATTGAATTGGATGGTAAAACTATTACAATTGAAGATAATCAATCTTGTATAAAGATTGCCTTGGAACCGAGGAAACATTATAGACTCAAACAATTGAATCAAATTCTATTGATGTTGAATATGTGGAGAGTAGAAGTCAGTTGGCCGATATTTTCACAAGGAGTTTGCTAGCTGATACTTATGAATATTTCGTTAAAGCTCTTGGCCTTGCATGATTCAATATTTCATTAACGTGAACCTTTGACATTATTTCATGAAACTGAGATTAAGGGAGAGTGTTGTATACATAATCTAAGCTTTCTTGATTGATGTATTTTCTATTGTTGTTTCATGTAACTATGTATAAATGTGAATTTTATTTCCGTATCTGATATCACAATTACTCTATTGTGTTATTATTTCAAGAAAATCTCATCGCTCATGGAATGTCAAATTGCAAGCAATGACAGCTCTGTCTAATAGATGAGCATTACTTGACAGGAAATCAGATGGCTACAAGCCGAAGAAATCGAAAATGCCGCTGTTATCTGTTACAGCCGTAGAAAAATTATAGTGTATAACTTGCACGGAACTAACAGTATTTATCTGACTTGTCTTCATTATTCTTTCAGCTTTGTGCAGTTCTTCAGTAATATTACTAAATGGGCTGATATGGCACATCTACCTGTGGATTTTACCAATAAAATTACCCACTTGAAAGATAATTTCAATGTTGCACATAACACATTTAAAGAGTATTATCCAATGTTCTCCAAGATATTTTTGCCACCATCCAGTCAGGACCTTGAACAGTCAAAACCTCATAGAAACAGAAAACAAAGGTAATATATTCTTGTCACTTTGTTCTTATTTAGGTATTCCTCACAAGATTAATTTTAGACCAGTTAATTGCAACACATCCAAAGTGTTTGAATTTATATGGAATCTTTTCATCACCCTGAAAGCAGAGCACCCTCAGTATAGCACAGAGTTGATCAAATCCTATCACCTCCTCTATGCTTGCATTGATTTGGCTTTCAAAAATGCATTTCTAGCTGAAAGACGGGATCTTCTAAATCCCCAATTCGAATGTCTACCTTCAGATTGGAACAACCCAGCATTTGAGTTACTGTCTGATGCTCCCTGTATCATTAGTTATTTGTGCAAGTGTCCATCTATGTTAACTGAAGCCATGCATGTCAAAATGTATATTCTGAAAAGGATGATCATAAATTTGGTTAGTGACCTAACTTTGATTGCCAGTGAGGTAGATTTTACTGGAATCTTTGATAATGAGGTGTTTGAACAGAACTTCAGGAATATTTCCAATGCATATGAAACTCACTTGTTGAATAAAGCTGATATTGATGAAAGGATCTTTTTGGGTAAGAAACCAAAATCATTCTTGTTGGTTATTACTAATTGGAATCTTCATTATAGCTGAATATAGAAGGCAATTATTAGAGCAGCAACAAAATTCAATAGGTCAGAGTGTCAAAGCAACGCCATTTTCAGAAACAGGTAACATAATAGTTATGTAAATGTATATGTTTGATAATTCCCTTGTTCGGTTTTCACTCTATTTGAAACTCACATAGGTGTTCCCAACATACTTGGCTCTGGTTATATAATTTTGTGATTTTAGTCATTTAGGCAATCGGTTCCCTATTTTAAAGGAATGATGTATATTTCAAAACTTAATCAGATTCTTATTCAATTAGATAATACTGTATCATAAATGCATTACTTTCAATTACCAATAATCATATTTTTAGGTGAAAATGCAACACTATTTACTCCAAAAAACAACTATGGAACTGTAAGTACTTTTCACCTTCTTCATTAGAGTTCATGAATTTATTTTTTGCATGCACATTAGTGCAGTTTGTGCTGATCTTGATAACTTTTTGCAGGCAAATCTGAGAGGTTCAGATACTCCATTGACTGGCAGAGGATTTTTGGGTCCTAGAGAAGCTGACATTTGTCCCCTACCCGTTGATAGAACTGCCACCCAGAAAATTACACGTTTACATAACATTCTGAATAATAGGTCAGCAGGTCCTAGTGAAGCTTTACTTCAATTATTTGAGTAAGTATAATAACTCATAGATAACTAGGTATAAAATGGACAAGGTATTTGAAGACGCCTAGGTCCACTAGGTCCATAAACGTTATTTACGATCGAGATACAACGCCGTCAAACTGCCAAGTTTTTCGGTTGTTATTGGAGATAGAGCCTTGCGGTTTTCACGTTCCTCTTCTACTTGTTTGTGAAACTCAAGATGGCCTAATCATATTTTGCACAATTCTTTTCGGTCATGAGATACAGGACGATCTTGAAAATGCATACTATCTGAACCCCTTTTTCGAAGGGTAAAAGTGCACTTATCATCTAATGGTTTTTTCTTTCGAAAAATGTTCTTGGTACTAACGTATTCTCGTCTGAAAAACACGAATTTCACGATGAAAATGTGAACAAACCATTATTAATCGAGATATTTTACGAAAAATTTCGAAATTTCACCTTCTTTTGCTTCTCATCTTGGATAATCATTTACAACTACTTGTTCTTTTTTTTTTCATCACTGGATAAATTATATACTCACGTTGTACTCTGATAACACATTTTATTTCCTAAAATAAACAAGAAGTATGGTTTATGTTTATTTTTATCACACAGATGATTTCTTTCTTCATAATCCTGAAGAGTGATGCGATGTCTTGAAACAATTTCGATTCTTATGCAATCAGGTTTTTAATTTTTATCATTATTATTTTTTTTGGATGGAATCTCTGTAAATGAGTATTGGGGATGAATTTTCAATTCCCCTATATCCCTTATCGATCAGAATATTTTTCTCGTTCTGAGAATACAGGGTGATTCAAAATGTCGCCATTTACAACTACAAATTGGAGCCTGTATAGAACTTATCTTGTGAAGATTTTGAGAAATAAAACACTATTTTCGTGACATTTAACAAAAATCATATCAACAGATCAATAATGAATCAATAAAAATTAAAAACCATTTCGAGATATGACATGAAACTTCATGATACAATATGTGAAAACCAGAAGAAAATTTTTGGAACGAATGGGATCACTCCAAATTTGATTTAAGGCAGTGTGCCATTCATCCCCCTGTGAAATATGTTTCTACCCGTTTTTTGGATTTTCGAATTAATGATTCAGAACACAATAAAATGAGCTTCTGAAATCTGAAAACCGAATTTAAATCGGTTGGTTTCTTTGGAAGTTATAATCTTACAAATCTGAGCGAAAATTTCTGGTGTCCCACTTCAATTGCGGGGCACTGATTGCACTAGTTTTTTTAACCATTAAACAGATATTGCCTGAACAATTTATAAACCAGCGTTCAATTTTTCATTAATTGCATAATTCGCCATAGCCCAAATAAATGTTTTTAGTGTCATGAAATTTGAAGGTTGTAATTATACTTTATCTACTCACTGAATCGAAAGTAGGCGTTTGCTACCTCATTTGAGGAAACAAAGTTATCAATTTACTCCCACGGGAAGAAAAAAATATCAACTCCCGTAGGAGGTAAAACAAATTGGCTTCAGCTTGCATCCTTTAAATTTAACCTATAAAATCTGTACAATCCAAGCAATCAGTGTTATATTCACTATTATAAAACAAATAACAATAATATCCTTCTTGAATTCCAATGATATCATATGCTTCTTCATATTCCGAACGTAACACAATATAAAAATCAATCAATTCATGATGACAGAAGTGTCAATTTGACTTTTGTTCAAATGCCGTCAACTGTCCATGGCATACTATACCTTTGTAATGCATAATGATGGATCGAGAGATAGCCCGCCTGAAGCACAACACACAAAGAATGGTGCTTTGAAAAATGCGTTTCTTGATAAAATCATATATATATATATCATGGGAGCAAAGGTACATTTCCTCCCATGTGTGTTTAATGCTCTCCGCTACGCGTCGTGCATCAAACTTCACACGCGGGAGGAAATGGATACCTTTCCTCCCTTGATATATAAATAGCTAGTATTGTAGAAGATGCTTCTTGAAATGGAACCACCCTAACTTTCATCTTCTGAAATATGAAAAATTTCTTGTTGGAAAAGATGACATGACTGAATTTCTATGCATTAATGTTGCTTATTTCCATGAAAATTGATTGAGTTATTGGTGATCAAAGTGTGCAAGAAAACCACCTCCAATTGATCTTTGCTTTATATCTTATAATAGTGAAAAATAATAGGCAGATCATATTGTGATTTCATCAAATATTTCTTCATCTAATTATCGCTCTGTAACATGACTTTTCTCCACTTTCACATCACAAGTCGAAACAACTTTGTCTATTCGCATTTTAAAAAACAATTAACCCTTTGCTAGAAATAATGTTCTATAAACAACAATAAAAATTGATGGAAGCATTATAAGCAACCAAAGCTCTTCCTAACCCCGCTCAAGTTTTGACTTCTGGGGAGTTGGTTCCCAACTCCGGTGTAGCGATGTACAAATTTTACAAAAAATCATACAAATCAGTCAATGGTGAGTCTAGTAGGTATATCAGGAGACCACCACTAAAGCATTAGCCCACCAACAAGTTGTAAAGACAGCTGTCGCTGCTTACCGATCTATTAATTATTATATTATTAATTGTTTGGCTTAAATTAATGTTCGTAAAAGTATCAACGATTTATTATTATATTTGACTTATTGCTATAATTACTTAACTGAATCTCTTGCATTGGATAGTAATAGTGGGTGAGTGACCAGTTAATTGTAGGTTTCGTTCCTTTGAATTGGATATGTAAGGTTCTCGCAGTAATCTTATTCCATGTTATAGAACTAGTGTTTATGATCTGAATTTGAGATTCAGTAGTTATATTTTGCCTCAATCTCACCAACCACATAGATTCAAAATGACTATTTAATCTATGCCAAACAGACTCTCTTCAACGATCGTTCTCCTATAATAGATTCAAAATTTTCTTCACATGAATTGAAACATTCAAAACGGGCTGCTTTCAAAAACAGAAGTGACACAAGCTGTGGTGATACAGGAGCTGTAACTGCTTGAATCATTCGAGATCGGATTTTGAAATTTGGTGTGTAGCAAGTATACAAAATCGCTGATGTATTAACAAAAAAATATCGATTTTAAAACTTTTTGTTCAACTAGAAGCATCTCTATTTTTTTATTTTCAATTGGAAACACCCTGTATACTTTCTCAGTTTTGGATTCAGGGAAACGTTTTGCCCACAGTAGGATTTTTTTCTGATCATAATGTCAAAATATAAAGGGCATCCTATTTGAAAATCGAATTTGGTACATTTGATAAATGACAATGTATTTGGTATTTCTGTATTGGCAAAGTTAATTGATATTATTGTCATTATTATTTATTTTCAGGTCCTGTCAGAGTGATCCTAGGACAAAAATTCAAGGTATTGTTAGTACATTTGGAGATAAGTTTATATCTGCTTATATTGAGGCTCATCCAAATAGTGAGGAAGATGCAAGGAATAGACTTCAAATAGGCATCACATTATTCTATAAGTTCACAGAAAATATATTGCAAAATGAAAAAGCTATTCGTCCTGACATATCAGTGAGTAACCAATAATATTCTATCTGATTGGTTTTATGAAATGATATTGTTCTAGGTTCTGGTGGAGAAAGATTTGTTTTATCAATGTATGTTTGCTTGTTGTTTGGAAATTGTGCTGTTTTGTTACAATTGCCCAAATAAGTTTCCTTGGGTTGCTGAAGTTCTAAATGTTGAACCACTCCATTTTGTGAAAGTTATCGAACTGATTGTTCGTACAAAGGATCAACTTTCTAGGGAGATGATAAAGTATTTGAATATGGTGAGTATACGTTTTCAAAATATAAAATATTCCCTTTTAGAAACTATAGCCTATTACAACTATTTCTATAGTTTTTCACAAGTATTAGGAATCTCTCTAGGCTGTTTTTCTATGGTTTTGGTGATCTATCACATACAGGGCTTTATTCAGAGCTAGCCACCCAAATAGATGAAAAATAGTATATTCCATAAATATCTAACACAGGAAAGTGAAGATGCGCGTCAACGAAGAGTGATGACTAGAGTTGTAAACTAAAATTTGTTTCCTTTTTCTACTGAACTCGTTTTCTTTCAGATTTAGTATTTTATAAGCACCTGCAAAAAACATAGGCCAGTGCATATATTCTCGATAGAAAATTAGCGTACGTCACCTATCGGAGTTCTTGGAAGCTGTCAAAGGGTCCATGTACTTTGTTTCCACTGGTTCACATTCGTTCATTGTTTGTGCATATTGGTCATACCATCATACCATAAAAACACCTCATACTGAGTCATACAATGAAATCGCTTGCCACAATGATCAATATTTCACCCAGATCGAAGAAACAGTCCTGGAAAGCTTGGTATGGAAGTCGGGATTTGGGAAGCTATCGTGACACCTGATTTGTTTTTTACCGTACTTCCATATAAGAGAATATGAAAGCAGTAAAATGTGTCATGAAATATAGAAAACTATAGAATCTTTACGAACACAATCAAATAATAACGATTACTTTGACATGTATTTTCCTGGTTTCCCATAATTTAGAGTTTCTGTAAATTGTGCTGAAACCCCGTCATTCCATTAGATAGATAGATAGATTCTTTATTGTTCTTCAAACTTAACAGTTTTTAACAAGGGTTCAGGTACATGATTTGAAGTAATATCAAAAAATAAACAAAGATAGATATGAATACATTGATATTCAAGTGTGTAGCAAACTAAGGATTAGCAAGAATAAAAACAAAAATACATTGTTATACAGAGAGATAATCTATAGGAATGATTGGCATTATGATTGCCATAATAATGTTTGGCAGTCATTTACAATAATTCACTCATTTAAGATGAAAGATATCAAATTCATGATGTTGTACATATGGTTATATATAGTTTTTCCTATTGTTGACGTTATATTAATGAGAACGTTAACAAAGTTTTCCATGTTGGAGAGGTATTCGACGTTCGGAGGTTTCATAGAGGTATAGATCGGACATTCAAAGAAGATATGTCCAATCGTCTCATATCTTTGTTGATTACAAATGGTGCAGAACTCTCTCGGATTGATATGGTATGTGTTACCTTGAAAAGTCAGTTTCAACATGTATTTATTTGATAGTCTGATTTGTGCTATGGTTCTGGTTATCTGTATTTGTATTCTCAAATTGAGGTGCTGTCATGAGTTGTCTGTCAGTTCCGGGTAGACATTTAAAAAGGAGGATCGCATTGCCAAAGATCTGTCTTCATGTCTTAGCTTCTCTTCGAAAGTATTGAGAAGTTGTTTTTTGATTTTTCTGAGATCTATTGTTTCAATATTCGATATATTCATGGGTGATTCAGCATATTCAAAAAAAGTTTTTATTTGCATAGTCCAGTAGTATTTGGATTCGCAGGTTGTGATTTCTAGTTGCCTTAGAAAACAGATCTTTGGAAGACGATGATCTCCCATTTGTTGGAGTTTGGTGAGCCAATTTATAATGTGCTTGAAAACTGTGAGTGAGATTTTCACACAACCAGCTTCCAGCCTGACGATTGCGTCTGGAGTGTTGATGGGGAGAAGGAGTATTCGTTTCAGAAAATTGATTTGGACTCGCTCTATGAGGTCGATGTACCTTGTTCCCCATATTGGTATACAGTTAGTTACGAGGCTGAGAACTAGTGAGTCAAGCAGTTGCATGCGCGATTCCCAGGAATCCATTTTAGTTCTCCTCATCATTCCCCGTCATTCCATTAGCATAACTATTATCAACAATATAACAATAACAAATGATTTTGTCATTGAAAAATGTATTAATAAATAATAAACATAATCATAGTATTGACATTGATATGATAGCCACAGAAATCACAGAATGCTCGGAAACCTGACATAGAATAGGTGTAGGTGTCAAATGGTTCTTGGGAATAATCATGCCAAAAGGTTGACCAATGGGTGTCCCGCTGCCCTCTCATATATCTTTATCCTTGTTTATCTCTAGATTTATATCTTCATAATAATATGCTCCATGCGTATGCAACTCTCAATCCGAAGAGATGCGGTGTTGGTTGCCTATAGGAATGATAATTTGTAGGCAAGGTTTATACTCGTTTATATGGTAAGCCCAGCAAAAAAGGAATTATAACCACTTTTTATCCGAGATTCTTTAATCTGCGCTCAATTCGGTCTATTCTGAATTCAACCTGCGGGAAGCATTGTCGATGTCTGTATAGGAGCTTCAGATTCATCATAAAATTCTCAACTAAACTATTTGAACCCTAGCGACTTCTACCAAGTTACAAATATCACGAAATTTGTACTTGATGCCTGGTCATTATATCTAGGTAAGTTATTATATCATTATTTGAATAATTGTGGTCATATTGAGCGCGTGGGTGCATTTCACTTATGCTGTACAGGGTGATATATCCCAATAATATTGAGATCATTTTATTTAGTTGTAGACCTCCACCAACCCTCCAAAAAAAAACCCTGAGAAAAGAGTATCTGTGCAAGATCGTTTCTCTGACTGAATGAATGAAAAGTATTTTTCTCGTACGTGTGATGAGTATTTTCAGGCCTACTTTTGGAATCATTAATATTAATTTTCGATGTCCCCAGAAGAGAGAGAAAAACTTGCGTAATATGACATTGAATGCAATCAGATCTGAGAAAAAAGCGTATATTAAGAATGTTTCCAATCAAAAAAATATAAAGGAAACGTGGGGTGCCTTGAAAGATCTTCATATAAAAACTAATAATTGCTCTAACATACCAAGACACCTGGAAAATGTGGAGGAGATAAATGAATATTTCATCTCTGTATTTGAAAATAGCAATTGTCATGACCTCATAACAGAATATAATAATAAAAACAGCGATTTTCGGAAAAACAAATTTCATTTTACGTTGGCCACTATAGAACAAGTAAATGAAGCTCTGAATAGCATTAAATCTAATGTATATGGATCTGACAATATATCCTTGAGTATGTTGAGATATTGCAGCCCATTCATAGATCCCTTCATAACGCATATTGTAAATATTTGTATAGAAAGAAATTATTTTCCTGATGAATGGAAAACTTCGATTATTCAGCCAATCCCTAAAACGAATACTCCCACCTCACACTCTGACTTGCGTCCTATAAGCTTGCTCACAGTTATGTCGAAAATCTTAGAAAAAATGTTGTCTCAGCAAATAAAAGATTATGTTGAGAGAGAAAACATTATTCCGTCATTTCAATCTGGTTTCAGAGCTGGCCATAGCACAGCAGGAGCGCTCATCAATGTATTAGATGATGTAGTCAGTGACTTGGATCGCATACAGTGTTCAGCATTGCTACTGCTAGACTTCTCTAAGGCATTCGACACTATCAATCACAATCTGTTATGTGCAAAGCTGAACTACTATGGGTTTTCTAATACAGCTGTTGAAATCATGAAGTCATATTTAACTGGAAGACAACAAAGAGTTATTCTCAAGGGACGTACCTCTCAAACTAGGAGTATAACTTCTGGAGTGCCGCAAGGGTCAATATTAGGGCCTTTACTTTTCATTATTTATACAGCAGATCTACTGCTTCAAATAGAACATGGATCTGTACAAAGTTATGCTGATGATACTCAACTCAAATATAATTTTTCACCGTATGAGTATCATATCGCAGAATTTCAGATCAATATGGATTTGGAAAACATTTTTACTCTATCCAAAAAACATAATCTTAAACTGAATGCTTCAAAATCTATGTTTATATTATTCGGCAGTCACAGGGAAACGTTGAAAAAATGCTTGAATATACAGGTAGATGGAAATGTAATCCCATACCAGGAAACAGTTAAATCTCTAGGGGTTCTCATTGACAGCAATCTGAATTTTGTTAATCAAACCAGCTCTCTGATTAGGAAAGCATTCTCTAGTCTGCGACTGCTATTCGCTAATAGACATGTTCTGGATAAGAAACTGAGAATAATGCTATCGGATACATTAGTTCTATCCTTCTTCAACTATTGTGATTTCGTTTATGGCCCCTTTCTTGGCGTTACTCAGAAGACACGCATACAAAAACTACAGAATTCCTGTTGTCGGTTTATCTTTGGACTTAGAAAATATGATCATATTTCATTGAGTTTTGCTAGCTTGAGATGGTTAAATATGGAGAATCGACGAACTCTCCACTTCGCGGTATTTATTCATAAAATCTTGAGGCATAATACACCTGCTTATTTAAAAGATAAACTCATCTTCAGAAACGCTGTGCACAACATCAATATTCGATTTCCCCACAAATTGAGTATACCACGTCATGTCAGTGCCATTTTCAGGAAAGGATTTTCATTTACGGCTCCGTCACTGTTCAATACTATTCCAAATAACATAGTTATCTCAAGTTCACTCAGTTTCAAAAACAAGATTAAAATCCAACTTTTACTGCAACAATAACTCTTGCTAGACCGATACATAGATGCTTGACATCTCAACCGTTTTTTCCCTATTTCTATGGTGCTTCTTGTTGTTGTTGTTCGATCCGTTGCTTGAAGTTGAACAAGGTTATCTTTTTGTTATTTTTTTCTTGACAATTTTTTTTTCATTACTTGATGTTTTGTTACAGCTCTTTTCATTTAGTAAGAGGTATAGTTATTAGTGTATATGATGAATAATCTAAATATTTCACGATACTATTGTTCATAGTCTGTTGGTAGTCATTCCAGGACATTCCTGGATGGACACACTATGTTAATGCTTTATTGAGGTTTAAGTGTAAGAATAGCGTTCGCTAAACTTCGCCTTTCTAAAGTCAATGTACTATCATGTTCTTCATGAATAAAGACGATTATTATTATTATTAAGAGACATGGAATATACATATATCAATAATGAATCTAAAAACTTTTATTGAAACCAAAGTGTATGCCACAACGACCCACAACCTTTCCAGATCGAAGAAACGGTCCTGGAAAGCTTAGTATGGAAGTCGGGCAGCCTGATTTGGGAGGCGATAGCGGCGTCCGGCCAGACGCTGCCCAAGTTCGCGGACACCGCCCTGCCCGGCCACCTGTTGTACGACGACAGCCGCGGCGACGCGAACATCCAGAGCGCCGAGGTGACGTCGAGCAGCGCCGGGGCGCACTCGCCGCCGCCGCCCTCGGCCACCGACAGGTTTGAGTCGCCGAGAGCGGGCGGGCGGGCGGCAGCAGGGGCGGCCGTGCAGCCTGGGCAGTCTCTTCTGCAAAGGCAGACTCATATAAGTAAGTGAGAGAGAAGCAAATATGTTTTTAAATGGAGGAAGGAACGCTCAAAGTCATCTCCACAACTTTAATAATGATGTAGTCAATCAAAGGGACATGTTACGGACTCATAAAAGTTCATCTTCAGCCGTATTTTAGAAGTTACTAACAAGCAAAGGCATGTGAAAATATACATATTGTTGAAAAGGAATATTCTCAGATATATTTATGAACACAAAATATGAATATATATATATATAAAGATATACATTGAGAATTCGCATTCTCCATGTGATGAAAATATTAATTCTCTCTCGATTTATTTAACAGAAAACAACTACTTTCCTGGCTATATGACACGACGAACATTGAATTACATCTATTGAATACACACAATAAGAATTTGAAAACAAAATCTTCTGAAATAGAGAATGTGCATTCTCCTTCATATAAAAATATGCACATAATTTCATTCTGCATATTCAACAGAAAACAACTACTTTTCTGGCTATTTGCCATGTCGAACATTGAATTATATCTTTTGAACAACCAAAAAGAGAGCATGAAAAATGAAAATCCTCTGAAATTGATAATTGACATTATCTCTCAAATCGGATAAAATATTATAAAATATATTCTACCGATTGAGCTGAAATTTTGTATATACGTTTAATTTGGATGACAATGCATGAAAAGGGATTTAAAGTAAATTCCTTTGCAATAAAAGCTAAATTTAGAAATTTATGAGTTGGGAAATTTGTCAAACAAGGCCAAATGCCGAGTTTGATAACCCGTCGGTTATCGTAATATGAATTTACGATACGAATATCATACAATATTTCACCTGCAACCAAAAACGCTAATTATTCAATCGAAAATAAATAATATTTCTTGAATTAACGATTCATTAGGAACATGTAACAAGCGAGCATGGCAAGAGTTGGACGTAAATATCCTTGTGAATATATTGTGTTCTCGGTTGTCACTCATTCTGCGAACTGTCAACTTTGACGCGTTCATTTCAATTTGAGATAAAAATAAATCAACATGAATTCCGATCATGAAAGTATAGATTCAGATAGAGAAATTGCTGCGACTGAAGCAACGTAAACTTCAGTACCCGTCTATATTTATGATCAATAAGTTCTTGTTTTTTCATTTAAACAATGACTGAAATTTGAATTTTTTTCACTTTACCGCACTAGAGCAGTGGAGTATCTCATTACAAAACTGAAATAAGTGTCAAAAAGTTTCACATCACATATTGGTAGTAGGTATAAGACTTTTATGTGAGATTTGGACAATTACTAAATTGAATGAAGATCGCTTATAATTAAAAAACTTAGGTGATCTGGACTGCTAGTCAATGTTAGAATCTTTCGTGCAATTATCATTCTTGAATATTAAAGTTAGTAGAAATTGTGAAGACAATGGGATTAACAAGTGTTTAAAGACCAGAAATTGACGTCCGTAAGACGTCCAAAAGTTTCCGTCCATGTGACGTTAGAAAGACAACGTCCTTTTGACGTCATAATTTGGACAAGTGACGAACGAGACCATAAAAGACCAAAATTAGCGGTCCTATAGACGTCATTTTCGTCGGTGTGGCTACCTGGGAAGTCACAGCTAAAACATATCGACTTCTTTAGTGTCATGTTTTGTAAGAAAAATAATACCAAATACGTATTTAATCAAAAACGCTTCCATTTTACATATCAAAGCTGCTACTTTTATTTGGTATAAGCGGCAACACCGCATTATTGAAGAAAAATATAGCGGGTTCGTTTATGCGATCACCCCAACATTCAAAATGCTCCTTCCCTGTATAAGATCCACAATTTTGTTTGTATACTCCTGTTTTTTCTTCGAATTTAGAAGTTCTATCTTTACTGTTCCTAACCAACCTTCTCAACGTATTTTTTTGTCCTATAAGCAACTCTCAAGTATTGTTTATGTAAAATTGAAGCTGATTTTTCAGTTGATGATCTGAAAACGCTTATAGTACTATAATTTAGAATATTGTTTCTGATGATAAGACAAACTTTTTGAATTGCTTTTTACAAACCCTAACTCCAACCTAAAACAGTGTCATTGAGAAATATAATATTAAAAGTTTTCATTACCAGGTGACACGTTATGAAATACCATCCCCTGTAACTCATTTATTTTTGAGAGTAGAAAAAAAAACAAGATATATCCTTACCTGTTTTTTTCCTTAGAATCAACAGATACATCAATATCTGAAGAAATATTCGGGGAGCAGCAAAAAGTGTATGAATTTTAAATAGTAGAACACCCTATATATTTTTCCTCGCCATTAAAAAGACCTTTCGATGAGTTTCCCAAAAATACCGCACTCAATATATTTATCTTCTGTGTTTCTCAATAGATGGTCTTTCAAAACTGATAGTGGGCAATTTTTAATAACTTTCTCGGAATTAGGCCTTCTTAATGATTACAATATTGAGTTCGTGATTACGTAAAATACTAAACAACAACTAAACTCGCAATTTTTCGAAATCAAATCACAAAATCAGACTGATAACTTCAAAAGAATGATAAAGATGCCTGCAACGCAGGTGTCATTACTGTTAAAAACTTCAAATTTCACGCCGATAATTTTCTGATTTTAATATTATGTAATATCTTCCCAATATCGATTCGCCCTTTTTTCTGCCACAGAAAAAAATTGTGTAAAAATGACTTTTGTTGGGCGATATACCGAAAAATAATACACCGTCTCCGAGAAAGAACTGCAAGTCCTTTCGTCTTCCATTCCACTTCACGGTTACTTAAATTATCAAACAACCACTTAGTTCGCAATTTGTTAAAATTATATCACAGAATTAGACTGACAGATATATGATAACTTCAAAATAATGATATAGATGCTTGCAACGCTTGGTAGCTCACAACCTCGAACTAAAATCCACTACTTTTTTCCTTTGTATAATAAATAACTATTCTTTTCCTTTTCCTCACTTGGTGGGGACAACAGAATAAATAATTATCCATATGTTGATGAAAAAACATTTACTTTTTCATTGTTCAGTGCTCAGACATATTGCACATGACAGGCACTTGATTATTGTATGGTAAGAATTGACAGCTTGTTAAGATAACATAGATCTTTATGCAACCGACCCTCAGGTTCCTACATTAAAAAAAAACTTATGGTTTTATGTTATTCTGTTCTGTTATATATTTTTTCCATCAAATTTTTCGTTAATTTCAGTGATTACAGATCAAGAAGGACATCGGAATTTGATAATTGTGAATAGCAACAATCAGTCACAAACTGTTCCAAGCAATTTGAGTGACTCTACATCACAGTTGCCTAGGAGAACTGGGAGTTTATCTATCATTTTCAGAAAGGTGAGTCAATGAAGCAATCGCCCTCACTTATGTTGATGACATATTCCTGCAAAATTTGTCAATGCATCACATTCCTTGCTGAAGCACTCAATAAAATACATTTTTTCAGCCCAACTCAAAGTAGAGCAAGTAACTCTGATATGAAAAAAAATGTTGACATTCTTGAACCGAAGGGAGAAATATCTATCAAATTTGCAGCATTTGATCGTGTTCACCACCAAAGAGGAAATAGCCTTGAAATAATATAGTGATAATGAGAACACTGATTTCTTGTAGAATTTGAAACAAATAGAAGTAAACAAATTTCGTAGCTCCACTGTAAAAAGTTCAATATTATTTCAGCAGATGCTATAGAATAGTTGTTGACTTGCCTTTGAAACTTTAGGATTTCACCAGGAGATCTTCAGAATGTAACGCTATCTGAACATATGATAACAACTGCGCTTGAATATTTCAATATTTTTGCAATTTTTAATATTTTTCTATAATTCTTGATTATTCTTTTTCAGTTTTATAATCTGGCTGGGGTCAGGATGGAGCATCTCTGCAACAAAGTCGGCTTTACGGACACCGAGTTGAAACGGAAAATTTGGACTGTTTTTGAGGACTCCATTCGCAATAGTGACTTGATCAAAGATAGACATCTTGATCAGCTGCTCATGTGTGCTATTTACGTAATATGCAGGATTTCAAATATCCCTCTGAAATTCCAGGACATCATGAAGTTTTACAGGGAACAACCTCAAAGCAGTAGCAATGTCTATAGGGATGTTTTGTTAACTAAAAAGATTAACAATGAAAGTGAGTTCTGAGATTTCAGCCTTCTTATTTTAACTGCACATCTGATTGAAAATGAATTGAAAACTTTTTGAAATATAATTCATTTTTTTTATACAATTGTGCACTAAACAATAATTCTGAGAAAATATATAATAAAAGGGCATACATATAAAATAACCTTCAACTTCACAAAAAGTTGAATTTATCTTTAGATTATTTGAAACTACCAAATAGTATTTCCTGAGTATTTGACAGCGTTAATATAATTATCATTAATTCACAATATACTGGATTCTATCAGACAAATGTTCCTCTTAGTATGATGTTCCTGACCCACATTCAAAATATATTGACATATTTTTCAGCGGGAATGGTTGCAGAAAAACGAAGTGACCTTATTACCTTCTACAATTCAATATACGTTGAAGTGATGCAAAAATTTGCTGTACGATTCAGAAGTTCCAGTTCTTCTCAAGTAAGATGAAAAACAAAACGATATACCCAATATTTCATTATTGAATTCATTTCAGAATAACAACATACTGCTCAGCCCACTTCCTGCTATAAAACGAGATTTGGTGTCGCCAAGTTTACAAGTTGTCGGCAACGTTTACGTCAGACCACTGGAAAGTCCTTCAACAACTTCCGGATCAAGTTTCAATTATTTTTTCAGTCGCAGTCCATCTAAGGTGACCGTTTTTCCAAACTCTTTATGCATGATGTTTCCATTCTCAAGATCTGATACTGTCCCAGCAAACATTTTGATATGGCGGCATTATTTTTCCCATACCTGACATCAGCGGCCCAGTAAATGGTCCCATATGCCGGCAGCTGGTCCCAGTGCTGGGCATCAAAGATCATTCACACACTAGATAAGCACTGTAAATGTAAGAATGGGCAACGCTAAGTTGGGAACGAACAGAGCGGTGACAATCCGCTGTGCGCATCTATTCATTATAACGCCGCATATTCCACTGACTCGGATAATAATATTTGGTCAACGAATAGCACAGCCGATGAGCCGCCGGTCTGTTAGAACCCATCGGAGCGTTGCCAATTTTTACACAGGCGTTTACTGTCTAGTGTGTGTATCATCTTTGTGGGTACCAAGTAATCATATTCAGTTCCCTGGCAAAATGCCAGTACAACATAATCAACACATTGAGTTTCCCATAGCAAGCCCAGCATATACATAAATGATGGGACTGTAATGGGCAATTCTCAACATTGGTTACATAATATCGAGGTAGCGAGAGGGTCCAATGGATCTGAGAGTTCTAGTAACTCTATATTTTTTAATGCAACCCTCTCATCATATTATATCAAACAGGTACATACCAGTTAAAAGGAAACAATTTTTTGAATTGACTCGGCCGTTACTTGATGGAAATCCATGGCAAATGTAAAAACTTCACAAACGATAAGATTTCCACAAAATTCACACAACATGTTTCGCTGAGACAGTAGCTTCGTCAGGTGATATTGTACCAGTATATCACCTGACGAAGCTACTGTGTTAGCGAAACATGTTGTGTGTTTAAGAATTTTGTGGAAATCTTATCGTTTGTGAAGTTTTTACAGGAAACAATTTAATGAATGACATAATGATATCTTCTTAACCTCTCTCTTCTTCTATGATGAAACTTCTCAGAGTGACTGCTTACTGGCTGGTATTTGGTATCTACATCTCATTTGGGTAGCATTTCTTCAAAATGTATTCTTTGTTGTGAGGTACTCCTGACATATAAAATTCGTCATCAATTATCAGTGGCCTTTCTTGATATCTGAATTCTTCTTGCATAGGCGTATGAGAAAAGATTAACTGTTGTATTGTTCATGATAGTTTATAACTTAATCAATATAGTCTGATAATGTGATAACATTTGGAGCTTTTCAATTCTCATTATTTTTTTGGCACAGGCATTTCTGTAGTTGGAACCACAGATTAACAAACCTTACAGATGAGACACTCCGCCCCTTTTGTTTGATGTACCGACACATGTGTTTTGTGACCTCGTCCCTTTAAACTTTGCGCGTCACGGTTGCCGGTTCTCAAAAATTCAGGTTGAAGTCACAGAATTATTCGTGATGCAACGTTGCCATATCAACGAATATCTTGATATCAGGGATTTACTTCATGAGAAATTCCTGAAGCTTACATTGAATTGATATCATGAAGTGGTTCAAATGTGTTTATTGATTGGCTCAGGCAGATTTGATATTACCTGACTTAGATCTGCACAAAATAATTGATATTAGGAACTGTAAAATTGTTACTTCCGAATGAAATTATTGTGGGGAATGAATTTTGAACTAATATAATATGCAGATAGTGCCTTGTAATTAGTTTATAAATATTTTTCTACAATATGAATCAATTCATTGGAAATATTCAACATCATATATATTTGATTCTCAAGTTTATTTTACAAAATTCGTGAAATAATACAATATGTAAGTAATATTTGAGAGGAATTAATTGAACACATTGGAGACTTGACAGGAGTGAGCTTTATTCATTCATTCATTTTTACTGGTATAAAATAAAAGTAAATAACAGAAAGACTATCTGAATTTTTTAATTGTAAATACAATAAATTTCAACAGCGTTTTCATGCATACAAAATTGAATAAGTGAAAAACATCACAAATTTGGAATTAGGATGTTCATAAAAATAAATCGAGGTCAATGCATATTAATACATTTTATTCAACATTAGAAGAGTCAAATGTCGAAAGGCCTCATTGATGGGCACCCAACTTCCGCATATTGTTTTTTTTTCTTGATGAAAAAACTTTAATATAGGGGTGGTCCTTATCCATGGATAACCCTGTACATGTACAGTGTACATACATAATGACTAAATTAATTGTCTTGTGTTCTAGGAGTGAATGAGAATATTAGTGTTTTGAAAAATAATCATTGTCTGAATCATGACACTCTACTTGAACAAAAGATAGTGAAGTAGGTACCTGATCATTTGTTTATAACTTTTTGGAAAAGAGCAGTTTGGTATGATGTTTCATCCTTTGGAAAACCATGTAATTTAATGTTCTCTGAAATATTTGATGTGTCTTCCACTAGGAACTGCTGCATATTTCACTTTCTGCTCACTCATTATACTGTTTGAAGTTGAACAAGAAACAGCAACAAGCACAACTCAAAATACAATCTCAACTTCGATCATTTCTCAATCCACTATCACTATTCACAGATCTTTGCACTACTCGCTCGAGACTGATATAGAAGTGATTCCATTTTCTGAATTCCTTTTATTGAGGTACCTACAAGTAATTAGATGGCAGTATTTAAACGATTAAAGTTGATTGGAACACATGCTATTAAAACAACATTTTTTTACTGAGTACCTTACCTGAATATAGAATTTATTTCCTTCTTGTCTATAAATTTCGGACATTAACAAACAAATTATCGATTTTGAAACTGATGAGCAAATAAAATGCACAATAAACAAACGCTTCTATCAGTCACAGTGCTGGAATCGAGGCCGTCGGCCTCGTGCTAGTCGTGCTGGAATGTGGAAAACATGCCGAAAATCCCGAGCGCTTGCGCAGTAGTGAGACTGTCCCTTTAAACTTTGCGCTTTTGTCATCTCTCTCTAATTTTGTGCGCCTTGTCTGACTGTCCTATCTGTAAGGTTAATCTGTAGTTGGAACCTAATTGTTATTTAGTTCTATAATAGAGACAGGTTTACATAATCTAAGTATTACTTTTGATAGCAACGAACGAGTTAAACATGATAGTTGTGCTTCTGGAGAGGTAGAGCCACTCCAATTATTATGATCATTAGGTTTATGGGGTTATGAAATACCAAACATACATTTCATAATGAAATTCGAAACACTAGATAGGTAGATTGATACTTACTCGATATTATCATAATTGAAGAATCCATCTTCTATATTAACAATTGAGGATACTGCTGCTGTTATTATAAATAACGGTCAGGGAAAGTGAGGGGCATAATAATTCGACAACAAACCAGAAAAAACGAAACATAGGCTAATATTAGAGTCACATATAAGGCTTGTTCGTCTGTGCTTGCTCTACCTGCTGAACTTGATTTGGGAAACTATGGGAAAAAATCAACTTAATAATGATCCAAATGATCAGCTGATTGTTGATGTAGACGTTCCCAGAACATCCACCAGGGGGACGAGTATTGAACAGTATATTGTCCAGCAAAGGGCCACAACTCGTTAGTGTTCAACTAGCTTCAGACATCTTACCATCTTAAGGCCATCATCGAATTTTTAACGGATGGTTACTTCGCATAGGCCCATTACCAATACCCCGGAATCGTCACTTTTCCAGACTTGCCTGCCTTAGTCCGGACTTCTCCCGGTAGTTCAATGTTTGCTGGGGTGGTAAAGTCCAGGAAATACACCTAGTCAAAATGTGTCTTTGTTTATCTATTATGAATGAATATCATTAGAAAAAAGAATGTTGGAAATGGACTTGTGCATATCATCGAAATGTCTGTTGCTTATTAATGCCAATCAAATCAGAAATATTTATGATACTCTTGGTATAATCAACTAAAAATTGATAGTGCCTAGGTGTATTTCCAGGAATTTCAGTTAAGGATTCCATTAAAATAATGTAAATCATTTGAGACATCCCTCCCCCACCCCCCTCCTTCCCAACATTTTTCCAGCTATCCATTCCACCTCCTCACGGTATCCACGTGCTGCCATTTTCATGATTCTTATATTGAGACACAACGGGGAACGGGCGAATGTGGAATAGTATCTAGCAAATGGAACTTCATCATTTGTTTTTTGCCAGAAAGTGTAATATTGGATATGAATACTTGATCTAATCTATCCTAAGCAAAATAGGAAAGCTTTGGAATGGGGAAGTTTCCTTCAGAGGAATATACATCACATTATTTTCACACTTCTGCAATCTATAATGACAATTGAATGATTCAAGTCATGTATATTTTCGAACTAGAGCAAATTTTGGCGGAAAACGAGAATAACTTTGGCTGTGAGATACAAATCTCCGAACAAGCCCATAACTCTCGCCCGAACTGAAAACGAAGAAAAATTAAACAAAGTTTCACTGTAACAGAAGGCTTACTAATGACGATTACAGTTCCTATATCCTGAAAAATGATCCAATTGAGAAAGAATGAAAATTAATTTAGATCTTGTTGCTTACCATCAGTGATATCGAACTAATAATTAATCTATAGAGATAAAACAACATGAATCACAACAACTTGATCACAATCAACAAGTGCGAATACAACGAAAACAGCGCATATATAATACTAGACCGTACCAGACAGTGAAAAACAGTAAACAATAATAATTAACAATGGAAACAACCTCAATCAATTCGCAGCTATCAGCATGGTGTGGTGTAAAACTGGTTTTGGGCGCGGTTGCCTTGCCAGACATAATTTACTAATTTCTTGGAAACAATGCAAATTCACTCAGGATCCCTTCAAGTTAGAATTTTATTTTGATTCTATTTGTTTCAAGATTCAACTTCGAGTAATGGATGTATTCTAGATATTATTGAAATATATATTCATTTGTCGTCCTGATTAGTAATTTCATCAGGTATCCATAAATAATGCGGTTTATACTTTTTGATTAACCAGAAATTCAATACAAATATCATTCCATGTTATAAAGTATCCAATATTACAATAAAGTCTTGATACAAAATTTCCTAATACCCAATCATATAAATGGAGTATAGCTAAAGTATCACATTTCTTTGAATTTTTGAAATTCGTCTGAAATTGTAGAGAGAATCAGTTCATGATTCCAGTAGCTTAATATATTGCTTATTTTCAGGATTTGAAAGATATAAATAAACTCGTGAACAGCAGCAGAGTGACGGGAAAAAGATTGCTGATCGAAGGAGAACTGAAGATGGATACACCTCCATCAAAGAGAATATCTAACAGAAAACTGCAATCCCTTGTCGAAGAGCGAAAGCGCCAAAATATCGAATAAATCGGTATTGTATATTATTGTTTTTATTGTTTATTCTCTTGTAATCGACTGTGAGCTAGTTATATTTCATCTATTTTGTCTTTTCCAATATGAGCACCATACCCAGTACACAGATACTTCATTGAAACGGTTTTTAGAATGGACAATTATTATGAAATGATCAGCTTCAAATGTTCATGCTTTAATTTCGTATACAATACTTAATTGCACTGTTTGATAAACTAAATAATAAGGTTTACATAATATTTCATATGTTTCAACGTCTTCTCTTCATTACCTAATCTATTAGGTACAGAAAGATTTTATCGACCCAGTCTGTAACTGACTGGTTTTCAGCCTCAATTATTTTGCATTGCCGAAATTCAAAATTGAATTATAATTCTATTTCTGTGTGATTTTGTTTGTTCAATTTGGATTCTAATCCCGAAAATTCATTATTTTTGTTGTCGATCTTCTTGAAATCATTCCATTCTTTGAGAATAAAATAGAAGGATATAATATCTTCTGTTCTTTCACCATTTGCTCATTAGTTATCTTGAAATTTAATGCTATCAAGCAGATGCCATGTTGTCGAACATGGTACATGGTTAGTCAGAACCATCTTTTATTCTTTATAGAATCGATGGATTTCAAGTGGATTCTTTCAAACGTAATTTGAGGTTTATGAATTTCTTGACGATTTTCATTACTGCTAAATTAGTCGAAACAGAGCTGATCATATTCAGATACTAATTTTTAACTATAAAGAACAGGTTTATAGATTGTGCTTGTTTGTGATTTTTAATTTTTATGTGTTTTGTTATCTCTCCAAGAATGCAATTTTGCATTTGACTCTCAGATTTTATTTACCACCTTCAGTTTCTAGTAAGGTGTGCGATTCTTCAAAAGTAATAAACTCACTCTCGTGCTTGATTTCACCGAACTGATTTATTCTGATTAATTTGGTTTCACTTCACAGCTAGGAGACATGAACATTCAGGATAATAACATAATCGCTTCTGTTTTATAATAATTCCCTTTGACATAGTAGTGGTCTGATCAAAAAACTCTATTGTTGATGGATTCATTATTCTGAAAATGATATAAAACTCAAATGAAAGAAAAGTCAATTGAAGTTCTTTACATTCAAATTGTATCTTCGAATGCAAATTTACAGTTATTATTAAATATGATACTAGCGAGGTCTGGATGCTATAGAATTTGTTGAACATTGATATCTTCTTGAAGGGATAATAAAGATACAAATATTTGCAATATTGTTATGAACAAATGTAACTGTAATTTTATAGGAAAGATAATTGATATTTTGAATAACCAATTAATTGGAACTTATTGATTGTCAAAATTAAAAGGTAATTTGGTATTGATCTCAAAAATTTGATTTTTAATATTTTAACTTATTGTTGAGAACTAGGTATAAATTTGATTATTCCCTATTTTTTAAGTGTAGTAATTTTTAGAATTTTATTCACAAGAACTGATTAATGTCCTAATAGAGTTTCAATTAATATCGAGATTAAATAAATAATGTAATTGGTTCTTTTTCATTTTGAATTTTCCAATATTCTATCTTGAAAGTCCTGTAAAAATGTTAGTATACAATGGTAACATGCAATGAGCTACTTCAGAAAAAGTCATTTCAGTATTTTCTAAACAAGAAGTCATATTTCGAAAAAACTTCAATTTTCAATAGAATGATGATTCAAAAGGAGAATGGATGGTTTCCATTAGAGTTCCTAAATGTACTTGACACTGCTGTTTTGACGTTTTTTTGTATATAGAGTACGGACACTAGACAAGCAGTGACAATCAAACATAACCACTAACGATTTTGAAGAAAATCATATGTTTTGTCAGACAAGGACAAGAATATGTTTTCCGCTTGGATAAAGGATTCTCGCATCTTCCTTCCTCCACAAGTCCTGGGAAGAGTACATCCATATATCTTTCTCTGTCTTGGATTTTTGTATGATAGTGCTTAGCATCTCCTCCAGCGGGTAAAAGGGTACGATAAATTGATAAGAAAACTATTTCTTCTCGTAATATTGAATGATAAGAAATACATATACTATTCCTATGAAATAAGTCTCCTATATGTAGGTATATATACGTTCAGTTGAATATTTTTTATCACAAAAGTTCAGAATGATGAATTTCAACCAATGAAACATACTTTTATTTAGTGGAACAATTTCACTTGTACAATAGTGGTAATAAGTAATTAATAAATGAACAAATGATATTGTTCATCGAATTTTGCTCTGAAGATATTTGCTGATTTCGTTTCAAATCTGTAATAATTTTTAGGTAATAGTTCTGAATTTTGCTAACTCTGACTTTTGTATCTGAATCTTCTTGCTTTAACTTATTTTCCAACTCTATTTTTTTTTTTATTTGTTTCCTGATTTCCTCACTCTCTTCCACTTGTAAACCTTGGATTTTTGAATATTCCTGCTCCAAAAATTCGATTCTCAAGTCTTTTTATTTCAAGATATGTTCGAAATGAATTTCATTATCTGCTTTTCCGTTTCTTGTTGGTTCTAAATTGGAATAAGGTTCTTTTCGACATTCGCTCAGTTTATAAATTGTGGGTTCGGCTCTTTCTCTCAATACGACCCTATTCTTCAACCAACATCAAATCTTCCGTTCTGAAGTGTACCTGATAAAAATGCGTTGAAAAATGTTCTATATCCTACCAAGAAATTTGGATACCTCGCAAATTTTGTGGCCTGAACCTATATTCCATGCCAGCCGCATCATATTCTGTTTCCATTTTTGTAGAATTACGTTATCCGACGGAAATTCGAATAGAGTGAATTGATTTCCCGTGTTATCACAGTTGGAAACTGTGCAAACTTGCATCTTTCAGCTAAATCTCTCAATTTATCAAACCTTTGAAATTTATGTCATGTACGTCCGTGTACTGTCAGTTCCCGCTTTTCCATCAATTTATTTGTGGTTATGTCTGATTGTCAGTGCTTGTCATAGTGTCGGTACTCTAATATACAAAAAACGTCAAAACTGCAGTGTCGAGTACATTTAGGAACTCTAGTTTCCATGACTTTCAAATTGTTGATTGCCATTGAAGAAAAAATCAAAGATGTTCTTGAATATTGGTTATACTTCAATTGGATATCATATTTATACACTGTTTATGTTGATTCTACTTCTGGCCAGACCAGAAATTACAGCCATGGCCAGCTTACGCACAACTGAATTGGCCAGTAGCTCTAAGGAGGTGTGGAGTTTTAGTAAGGGAGGGGCTTAGTAGTTGTCACTTCAGCATGGATTTACCGTAGCTTCTCGGGGTACATTATAAATTATACACAACAATACATCGGAAGAAGAACTTGTGGATCAAACGGGTTGAGGAACATTTAGTGGGTCTGGGTACCCATTTACTTTTCAAAGGGTAAGTTCCATCTCTTAGAGGGCGTACCAAAAAACCCGTTTAAGGGAATCAAAACTCCACATACCTCTAAGAAGAGAAACCGGTCGGTAATCCTATCCTCGATTGTAAATCGGTTAGACCCTTCTCAAATAACTCCGAGGCTGCTCCTTCTGTGACTCCTGTTCAGGATCTGATCCGAAGAAGGAATAAAAAAGGTAAGATAAAACAACATGAAACTGAACTGGAACCAGATGTAGGCACACTGCAGCTGCCATCATAATGGTAGTGGTAGCCAATTGTTACCATCTGAGGTTAAATTACCATCTGATAGAATTGACCATTTTAACTCGCGAGATCTGTTCAGCAAAGCTTAGGTATTCTGAAAATATGGAGTTGCGAACATGGCAAAGTACCTTCGTTCCAACACAGCTAAGTGAGCGATCACGATCAGAATTCACTGGTGTCTACCACCACCTTCTGGGCGGGATCGTAACTTCAACTCTAAATTCTTTCTTTGTCTACTACTCTTAGTTATAGTATATCCAATATCAATTGCAGAATATCGCGCACTGTGCGGCGTCAGCGTGTTTGAAGATTCTTTGAAGTGACTGCAGGTGCGGCACAAGATTCTGCAATTGTTTTTGGATAAACTAAACAATATTTCCTCTACACTTTCGACTTCAAGGTAAAAAATAGTGATGATGCCATACATTGCACTTCTGGTATAAGTGCAGTCAATAGTGCTCTCCGTGGAAAAAACTATGGAAAAGAAATTACAAAAAAAAAACACTGGCACAACACCGCAAGCCAAATGGAGCAAGTCATCCATAAGAGGTCCAAGCCTTCGATCTCTCAACTGACACAACCTCTCGGGGAGAATCGAAGGTGACAGGAAGACCAGTCTCTTCTTTAGACCTCAGGAGAGTCTCCGAGCAAGAGGAAGAAGCAATATGGCCACGATACCCGTACTTAGACAATCTGGAGGAAGAGACGATCCGATGATGCGTGGAATCAAGGGCAGGGTCCAGATGGTATCTTCGCTACCTCAAAGAAGGAATCATCCCTGAGGAGGCAAGTGAGATGGCTGTGGATCTCAGGTCCGAAGAAGAGGAGACGAAGATTCCATACGTAGCACAGAAACGGAAATGAGATGAGAATATTTCAAGTCAAAAACCGTCGAAAAACTAAGTACCGCTTTCAGCTCAGCGAGAGGCAGCTACACTGGCTGATGTAAAATCAAAAAGCATTGCTATCCTGTCAAAGGTGTTTCCTTAGGCTACCCTTGGTACGGACGAAATGTTTGCTGGATAGGAGCCTGAAGTCCAATTCAGATTCATCCATTTTCGCCCGGAGTTGATTATCGTCGATTTAAAACACCACAATCGGTAGAGTGGCCCCGACTCGAGGTTAGATAGCTGAAAGCAAGGGGTGGAATTATCTAAAGCGAGGGAGGAGGGGGACAACATCCGTTAGGCGCAAACCGCCGCCCTATACTTCTATAGTTTATAGAAGCACAGAACGAAGGACTACTAACCATCTAGAGGAAATAAGTCTGAAGAGATGAAAAAACATTCAAGGACAAAAGAAAGGCCCAATCCTGATGGTGGGT